TTGACTTGAACTTTCATTTGGATTTAGAAAAGTCTATAATTTCTGATCTGAATGATTTTTTGATTTTTCCATTCAAAATATTGAAAAGTTCTCTATCTGAAGATTCTGACATCTCGACCTCAACTCAAGGATGTTCTTTTGAAGGCTTCCTGCCACCCCCTCTGGCGAATAAATTGACAGATCATTATCCTAATTTGCATGATACTCTTTGTTTGCTTGTTGCTGAGTGTCAACAGGCCGCATCGGCTATGCGTAAAGTGAGACTTGTTCTCCAGGAGCACAATGCCTCTGAACTCAGGGAAGGTTTTCAATCGCAAGAATACAGTTTACCACTAAAGAATTCTGATACTCTTCGTAGTGATTGTATTTTACGAACCTACGATGATATGGTTGTGGGAGTGACAGAAAAGGTCTCTGCGCTGGTGAAAGAAAAAATGCGCTACTCACTTTCTTGCATGCGCTTAAAGAGTGTGATACAGGGAGACTCAGCGTCCATGATGGATGCTTCATCAGACGCAGAACCGGTATTAGAACTTTCTCCAAGGTCCCAAAACGATTCCTCGAGTTTGACATTGAACCTTCCGGGATTTACGAGCCGTGTAAAAACGATGGATATTGAGAGCACATCAGATAATAGTTTCCATAGCTCAATTAAGTCCTATGTTGAGCCAATTGTACAGGAGGTACGCAATCACATTCAGAAGAGGTCGGAAGAAATGTTGCAGATGCGGAAGGCTGTGATAACCAGCTTCGAGGCTCTTGGAGGTACCGAGGATATTCGCTCGGTGGATGCGATCAAAGCGTCTAATTATTTAGTAGATATAGCCGTTGATACAGGCTCCTGTATTACTGAAATGAAATTAATTCTCGACCCCACCGGGGAACATAGTGGCAAGGTGCGCCTCTCTAGCATCCTAGGAAACATAAAAACGAAACTGGGTGACATAGAGGAAGCGAATAAAGATGCAGGTAGCATCCTATACGCTTTGGCCGGTCCTGACACAAGTATAAACGAAATGAGTTTACTTAATTCCCCTGATGGTCGCCGTTTGGAAAAGAAGAAGAAACCGCCGAGACCAGAATTTGTTCGGGAAAATCCTCTTTATATTGCGCGTGCTATCTATGAGAAAGAACTTATTATTCGAGGCTCAGATAAGGGTGGGTTTCTACACCTTAGCTCCTATGAGTTTAACCACCAAAATGTCAAAGCCTTCAGAGAGGCGATAGCCGAGAAAAAGCAACAGTTCCAGCAGATGTCTCACGGAATCACTGTGGCACTCTCCCTTTTAGGGGACACCATGGACCCCTCCAAGGAGGACATCAACACCCTAACACTGCGGCTGATACAGATTGCCAAAGATGTGCATGATGCCATGATGCTAAGTCAAGGTGCGATGTCAGAAGAGAACATCAGAATGGGAAATATCAAGGCCATTTCCAGTTGTGGGGCTTCAGCTCGCGGTAACTCGTCACGAGAATCAAACATTCGCGAAAAAGAAGAAAACAAATGTAGTGATGATGAAAACTCCACTTCGGGGCTCGATGAGATGCCTTTATTTGCAAAGCAGACCGCTAATCTAGTGCAGGCGCTTCAGTCGATGCATATCAAGTATGAGGCAGTGGAGCAGGAGAAAGAGTGCATGTTTAAACAGCTGCAATTCCTGCTTGATAATGACAACACGGAAATTCTCGAGGAACATCTCGAACGCGCTCGTGCCTACATAGCTTCCCTAGATGCAAAGCAGCACACCCTTTTTGAAGAATTAACGAAAAGCAAAGAGCGACTTCAAGAAAATCAGCAGTTAATAGAATCCCTTTGCGAAGGGCAGTGCACTCTTCAGAACGAGCTTAAGCACAGCCAGCAGAACCTAATGTTCATGGAGGAAAACTGTGAGAGACTCACTGTGATGCTGAGTGAGAGCATGGCATTCGATATGGTATTTGGCGATCAAGCAAAACGATTGGAAGAGCTCAGGATCGCAAGGGTTCGTTCGGATTCCTTGCATGCAACTCAGGCTCTTAAAAGCCAATGCACACTCCTCTTAACTCTGCTCGTGAAAAATAGTGCAGAACAAGTCGATGGAAGGGAAGTGAGTGCTGAAGAAGAGGACATCCCATTGTCGCTTATTCAACGGTGCTCCGAGTACGTGTCCTCCTCGATTGAGCTTCTTGGTGCTGAGCAGACTTTACACCGCGATACAAAAGACAAGCTACAGGATACGCAACGTCGTCTTGCGCATGCCATGGTGGAAGAAGCACACCTTAGAGAACTGCTAGGGGGACTCCGGCAGCAACTCGAAGCAGAGAAAGACAACGCAATTCAACAGATGCGAGACCAGATTCAGGAGCAGCAGCGGGGGGCCGAAAAACGCCTGGAGTACGCTCTCAGTGTTGCGGATAAGGCCCAGAAAGATCTGAATGAACGTATTGAAAGTCTCAAGGACAGGTTGAGCGATGAGGAACAATTACATAAAATCGCGGAGGCAAAGACCATTGACCTCCTCGGGCAACTGAACGCTAAATCGGAGGAAGTTGGGGAACTGCAGGTACGGCTTGAGGCTGCTGAGAAGCGTCGCCAGGAGGCAGAAAGTTGTTTGGCCGTGTTGGAAAGGACTCATGCAATGATGCAGGCTTCCGCAACTGAAAGGGATGCCTTTTACGAACACAGACATACCGAGTTGCTACAGAAGCTGGTGGTGATGGAACAAGAGATTGCCTCAGTGCGGATCGCCCTTAAGGCGGCGTGCACAGAGCGTTCGGCTGCGGATGCCTTACGATCTCAAGCCGAGACGAAGCTAGCCAAGTTAACAGATATTGTGGAAAGAGTGAAGAACAGGTTGCTGCATTGTGTTGTGTTGCCTGATGTGTCTCAAGCAGACACCTTGATGGAGGTCGTGGACGTGTTTCTTGAGGAGTTTGTGAAGGTGAATGCAAAAGTTTCACGAAAAGGCACGAGTCGCTATTCAGTCGGTACGACCACGGAGAGTAATGTGGTAGATATGGCCAATGGATTTTCTACTGTGTTGAAGGTGTTTCAAGAACTTGCTTTGCTCCCACTTGAAGGGGTGATGATGCCTGAAGATCAAGCAAACGCAATCACTGAGTATATCAATTGGAGTGTGGAATATATGCACGAGTTAGACAGCGGAAAAGCATTGCTTATAAATAGTCTGCAGCTCCATTCATTGGGAAACTCTACCTCTCAGCTTTCCACACCGCTTGTAGTTCTCGTGCAGTCGGTGCTAGATCAAAAGGATGAAGCAGTGCAGCAGTACATCACGCTGAGGGAACACTACAATGCTGTCTGCAATGAGATAGATCAACTCCGCGAAATGGTGAAGCTGAATAACGACCAACAGGGCCGTGACGTTGAGGATTTGGTTTATTCCATCAGACGAATGCGTGAGATAGTGCAGCAGAAACGAGATGCGGACGAGGTTGTGGAAAAGCATACTAGCGAGATGCAGCTGCTGATAGACACGCGTTTTTCTCGCCTTATCCGCTATGCTGCGGAGCAGGAAAATGCTGTTCAGCATATACAGCAACTTCATCACTTTATGAGGCATAAATTGAGTGAGCAAAGCCGCAGCAGTAGTATAGACTAAAAGTTGTTTTGTGGTAATAGTTTTTTTTTTTTTTGAGGCAGGGGGGAGGGATTTAGTGACGCTCTATCAAGCCATTATTCATATTTGTTCGGAATCTGTCCCCTCGATGTACTGCTTAGTTAGCCTTAGATACCTGAAGGGGAAAAGGAAAGGTCTGGGGGCGGATCTGTTTTATTTCTTGAAACTGTCGTAGCGGATGCAACGATGCTTGAAGCCTTTTCCTATGGAAGCTGATGCAGTCATGGACGACACATCCTCAGACACATTGACTTCGCTATACGCGGTAATATTTGGTGATTTTTGAAAAGTGAATTACACAAGTGCGAAAAATTACTTGATTGTGCAATCTCTCGTTGTCGTCGGCACCAAAGGAGATGCAAAGGGAAGCCATATTCACAAGACGCTTGCGAATTGGGCAATTCGACAATGAGAAGGGGGAGGCTATAGACAAGAATGGAAGGAATATTACCGGATCGCTTAATCAGTTTAGAGCATCATTGTATATACGCAACATTTCACAGTGCATTGCCTGACAACAGTATATGGGCCCAGAAATACTAGCGAATAGTGTTCTTCAGTTTCGAGAATATGAGAAATATATATAAGGATTTAGATACACTCAGTGTTTACTCATGTATAACATTTCGTTTAGTAACGATACTTTCATTCATGGCATCGGAAATTTTATGCTAAAGCTATTCTAAACTACACCTTTAAGCCTCCGACATATATATATATATATAATCGCTAATAGGATGCAGATAATATTATGCTAAACTAAAATTTAATTCGCAAATAAAATTAGCCTTTTCTACCCCTATACATTTGATTCAAAAGATATACTTTTGCTTATATTTTTTAAGGTGTCTTTAAAAGGTCGATATCTGATCCTTATATATTATATAAAGGAACGATCGCTATGCAGACGGGCTCAACTCAACTCGTGACAATGGACGAGGAGACGTTACGAAGAGCCTTTTGTGAACACCCTCTGCACAAAGTCAAGCACTTCACTGCAGCCACCTCTGCAGCAGACTGTACATCGGCGGTCGTTGTTGCGGTGGCTGCAGCGATTCCAATTTCGATCATCGACTATAGTATCATGTCTCGTATCGCCGGCGTAACGGACAGCAGTTTAAAAGAACTGTTTAAAGGTATTCGAACGGTCCTTTTTCGGCCTCACAAGTTTTTCCTTCCCACCAAAGAAAATAAATGTTGCATAGTTTTCTGTGTTTGTGCAACGACCTATTGCTTCACCTACATCGGCTCGAACTTATCCAAGAGCTATTGTGAATCGCATGGGATGGCTAACGAGGCCAACCTCGCTGCGGGAATTGTCAGCGGTGTTGTGAACACCCTCTTAACAATATGGAAGGACAGCGTCATTCTGAGGCAGCTCCCGCCGAAGAACACTACGGGTTCCTCGGTGAATGCGAAACGAATCCCTCACCTCACGCGGGGGCTTTTTTGCGCCCGTGATGTTCTGACGTGTGTGGCCGCCTTCACACTGGCCCCCATGCTGGCGGATTGGCTCACGCACTACGCCTATTATCATAAAAAAATTGAGGGTATCCCAAGAGATGCGAAGCTACCCGAGGATGAGAACAAGGTTCGCTTACCAATGTCCGTTTCAAACACGGCACAGATAGTTACACCAGCATTGCTTCAGTTTGTCACTACTTTGCTACACATTACGGCGATTCGGTATAGACAAACGTACCCCAACTTTGATTGGAAAGATTTTACGCAGAGCCTTAAAGCAACATATGTGTCCTCTACGTTGTTGCGCATGTGTCGTATAATCCCGGCATTTGGTATTGGAGGTATCTTGAACCAGAGAATGCGTACCAATTTGTTGGACAAAGCCGAGCAAAACTAAAGTTACATTTTCATTAGATAATAACATTGATCCGTTTGTCTTTTATTTTATTTTTCTGTATTTAGTATATCTATTCCCTTAATCCATTTGTCACTTAGTAGTTAGAATTGTAGCATTTAGGGGACAAATTCCTATTTTCTGTGTGGCAAATATGATATTCTCACCCCTCTTCCTATATACCTATCATTCACGGTTTACTATTTCTTTTATGGAAAGTAAATGAGATGAAAAGAAGCTGGATGCGTGTAGATGGAATCGTCCTGTGGTGTTATGTCCAGTTTTGCTCAAAAGCAAACTCTTCTGCATTGCCACGTCTTCTCTAGTAGTTTAGTTATAAATATTTGTTTAAGCAATGTCTTACCGCAAGAATGTATTTCTCCGATGCAGTATGGGAAATGTGGAAGCCATGCTACGCAGCGTAGATATGCACGAGATCTTGTTCCACTCAAAGGTGAAGCCGCCGAAATCCCCCCTAGCGGAGTGCCTGCGACTCGAACCCAGCTCCTCCCCCACAATCATTCACTCCCCGAGCCTCTCCATCGCCTCGGAGGAGTCGATGGACTCCATACTCGCCCTGCCGCCCGCTGTGTGCGGGCATGATGTGCCCCCTATGTCGCCCTGCCCGCCGGGCGAGCTTGAGATGCGGCAGCTTATTTACAAACTTTGTCGCTCCTTGTATAAAAAGGCAATACAAAAAATAGGTGGTGGCCAGGTGAGGCATTCCAGCGCGGTCCCCGTGGATTCGAAATACGAGACCAACATGTCGCATATGTCGGATTGGATGCCACTGCTTCATTTGTTTGAGCCAAACCGATACTACGAGATGCTAGAAAAGCCCTACATGTCAATGGTTGCGATGGAGTTCCCGTCAACGCAGCACGCGAATCACACGTCAGCGAAATCCCCAACCGAGGCCTTGCAGCTTTTTATGGACGAGCTAATTGTCGAGAAGCTCTCTGGTGGAAATAGCAACCACGTCTACCAACTAGGGCATCCCCACTACCCAGGCAGGAGCATTTTGGTTCGTTTGTATGGCAATGTCAGCGGTGAGGTCATCGACCGTTACCGAGATGTTATGGCATCAAAGCAAATGAGTGATGCGAAGCTGAGCCCTGTCGTACTCCACTACTTTAAGTGGGGTCGCGTCGAGGAGTTTATGGATGACGTGGCAACTGGAAGCACCGATTTGCTTTTTGAGAGCCCAACGCTGCTTTCGGAGGTGTTTATGGGGATGTCAGTGATGCACAAACTGCCTGTAGAACCGTTTTTGCCAGAGAACGCTAATGTCGCGTGGTTTGCAAAGAACGGTCAGCCCAAATGTCTGGAACATCTGCAGTACATCGGATCCGAGGACTACCTAACCAAGAGTGTGTCTATTATATCCAAGAAACTTCGTGAAGCTCAGTGCAACAAATATTACAAGAGTAATACAGAGTATAAAATCTTGGAGGAAGTGTGCCCCTCCTCGTTTGAGCGTGCGAGCCTGCGGTATCTACGCCTTATTAGTGTTTCCATCAAAGATGAATACTGCGAGAGCTTTGTGGATTTTATCTGTCATGAGATACTCCGGGTGCGTGAAGTGTTCCTGAAAAAGTCAATCCCGCTCACCTTCTCACATAATGACCTCAATCCCTGGAATATTCTGATTTCTTGGAAAAAGGTAACTGCCAAATTCAGGAAATCCAACGTCAGCATCAGCGAAGATGATGAAGTGACCTCAATCCTATCAGATCAAAGCAGTTTACTGAGTAGAAAGTTTTTAACGAAAAAGGGGCACCACAAGAACCTGGTCGACCTCAAGGGCTTGCTCTTCATTGATTTTGAATACTCCGATGTCAACTATCGGTGCTTCGACCTCGGCAACACGATCTGCGAACTGGACTATGACTATACTCGCGGGATGGAGGATGGCGGACCGGGCTTCATTAAGTACCTATACACATTTCCCCCTCCAGCGTATGAGTTGCAATGGAAGGATCTACCCATTGAGTACCCACGAATGGCGGAGGTCATTTACGATACCTGGAAGCACTTTTCAATGCATGACGACAGCAAAGACACGCCCGGGTTCGCATATGGAGAACACTACCTCAATGCGATCGCCGCTTACTACCACGACCAGAACCCCGCAGCTGATGCTACCCACGTGTCGCTCACCCAGCTTGGCGAAGTCTTCCTTGGAATGTTGGCTTCGCACCTTTATTGGTCCCTGTGGTCCTTTGTCATGGCTTGCAACTCAGACAGCTTGACAAACAATGTTGATGACGGTCTCTTTTCGAGGGGAAGTAGTGGGTTGGATTACTTAAAGTATGGGAACTGTCGTCTGAAGGAGTACTTTGCATTAAAGTCCTGGTTGGAAAAACATGACTTTCTTTAAGGCGATCATGTAGTAGTCTCCCTTACTTAGGCAACTTTATAAACGTAAATCACCATACACCTCATTTATTATCACATTTATAAGAGAATACAGATCTGAATGGAATGGTTTTAGCACTACATTCCCTATAGAAAGGGTGTCCCACCTATGGGCACTCTATCGCTAACAAAACCAGAGTGTCACTATTCAATTTACCCCATTTTCATCGCAGTACTGTTTGCTCGCTAATAATAATTTTTTTCCGTTTTACATTATTTGTCCAAGTGAATGGAAAATCTAGACGAAATGCTGAGTTTAATATGCATCAAATCTTTTGAATCCTTATGATTGGTGTATAGGATACATTGCTTAAAAATTATAATTGTAACGTATATTGGGTGTAGTGACTCTTCTAGCCCCTACTTGAGAAATGTTTTGAACATAAGTCTTTGTCGTGCATGGAGGCCCGCTATATGCTGGCGATTATGGACATGGCTTCCCGGAAACGTGGAGAAACCATGTCGGTGTACGTGGAGGCAGCTTATCCTTCAGTCGTGTCTTACGACATTATCATGCATCTGGGTGTCATATGAAAAGGTATAAGGGACACAGTCTCTGCGAGTCAGTTTTACCCTTTCCAAATCCGCTTAGACCGATCAGAGAAGTGGTATCGGTCTCGAGGGAGTGCCTCCGTCATCCGTCCCGCATTGCAGGTGCACCTCTTTTAGTGTTTATTTATTTCTTAAATTATTTTACATGTTTTCCATATTTTCTTGGTTGTAGCTTTGTTTCTGCCTTGATTTATTCCCCTGAAATGGCTTGGCTAAATTTATGCTCAATTCAAATGTGGGGGATTAACAACCCCTAAATTGAGTTTGTCTTAAATGTGCTGATTTCGGACTAATGTGGGCTCATAATTCTAGGCTAGTGGATAAAAATGAAATTGTCTATGAAATCAACTGCACGTGGGCTACTATGGGAAAAAAAATTGACAAGGTTTCAAATGCTGACAATTACCTTCATATCCTCGTTGTGTATTGTTGACAAAAAAAAAAGGGTGGATGCCTAAATTTTTCAAGGAGTATAAAGCCTTGATCAGTATATTGCAATCAGAGAGCGATACATTGGCATCGATTCTCCAAAATGGCCGTCGTCAAAAAGTATATCTGAAGCACATCTTCGTGCGCCGAGCAGACCGTTTAGTGAAAAGCATCCGTCGAAGTCTTGTCCCGTCGCTGCTTCGAGATAGCGCCCTCGGCAATGATCACAATCCACGTTTGACAGCGGCGTTGCATCGAGCCCATCGATGCTGCAAGATGGCGGCTGAGGCGGCAACCAATGAATTGGCGGCTGGCCGAATCGACACCGCTGCGCTGGCCATGGCATTACTGGGCTGCGTTGCACGGCTTGGTTGCGCGTTGGGTCGCGTATTGCTCTTAGTACAGGGTCGAGACCATTGTGTTTCTCTATGGGGTGCTGACTACGTGAGTCGATTAGAAAATTTGGTGCAGCCGTCATCAAGCAGAAAGCAACCTCGGGATAGAGCCAACCCCAATGATGGCATCGTAAGCGCGAAGAAGGTCAGACTGGAAAACAGCAACCCAACCTTCGGAAATGTCATTGATTCACTTATTTAGACACGATGCTTGAAGTGGCTTGGCTAAATAAAAGTGGTAACAATGAAAAACCAATTTTCCAATGCGTTATGTGGACTTGTTTTTCGATGCGACTTTTAATAAAATGCAGATTTTAAGGGTCCAAACGTCTTAGTTGCAGTGTGACACCATAAGCATCAAAACCTATGCCTCATTCGATGTCAGACTGAGAGGAACTCAGGAAACCCGACGTGCGTCGCTTTTGTTCGCAAGCATAATCTTTGTTGTCCTCATTATTTAAATCTAGTAGTGCATATAATTCTCATAACTTTCAGATGATTGTATGCTTAGGTGAATGTCACATCATTTGTGGAGCCACGTCCACTCCAGGCAGAAGGCGTGCACACAGCATTCCTCCCCTCCACCCTACTGATAAAATGATGTAATATCAAAAAGTTGTGCGCGACCTAGCCACCTGAGGAGAGTACACAACTAAGGGGCCCCGCTTGGGTACCCCAATGGCTGATTGTGCTGATCTTGAATCCCCCCCTCGTCTTTCTAGGGCATTGGGGTCAACAAAA